TCAAGTATTATATTTTTAAAATCAACAATTTGTCTCCTAAATCACAGTAAATTGAACCCACCCCCCCCCAACAGAGGGGTCATTTAACGTCTTGTTGCCACAGTGATAAGGTCAGATGCTTTTCTGCAAGTCTTAAACATCTATGCTTTGTCTGTACAGAAAGTTACTAACTTGCAGCAGTTAGAGAACACAGATCCCTTTTGCTGCCTTCAGGAGCAAGAGCCATCCCAGTATCTGGGAAGTTGCTCACACCAAAGTCCATCCAAAAGCAGGAGCTAAATTCTGCTATCACCAAGGACACTGGTGCRCAGACCAAATTACTTTATGTGAATCAAAGAACAAAAGAAACTGATTTATTTTTTGGACAGTTTGGAATGAGCAAACAGATCACTGGCACAAACCATTCACTTGGGGAAAGCCAGGATTGCTGCCATTCAGCTACCTGCCTTTTTAGACCAGCAATTCTTAAATACCATCTCTCATTCTTAAACAAATATGAGCAACTTCCTGAATCCAGGCAGCATTTGCAGCGCTCTGCAAGCGAAGAGAAGCAGAGGAATGTGTCGAAGAATCAATGGGGCTCCAGAAGGAAATTCTTCCTGTGTGAACCCCAAATCTGCAGCTCTCTACCCAGGTACAGACTGGTAGCTGAGCGGGCCTCACTTCTCCTGGAAGCACCAACTATTTGCTATCATGACACGCAGGACGGGAGGCCAGCTGGATCAATAGCCTTGCTCAATATAGAAAACCTTATCTGCGCTGCCGCCCGGCCAGCRGCAACGTCAGCGCCGCGGTGCCACGGGCAGAGCTATCTCAGAGCAGCAGAGGCACCGCTTGCTTCGGAGCGGGGCGACACCTACGAAAAGCCAGTAATCCAAGCAGAAAATCTTCACCCCGCTGCGCGGTGCAAAGATAAAAGGCAACCAGGCAACTTCCCCGCTTGGTGCGTTTATCAGGGCTGCAAAATAACTCTCTGCTGCGGCAGGTTCAGATTCCAGCCCCGCTCCTGCTGGGATGCCACGAACCAAAGAACTCGTGGGGACAGTGACAGTAGCCCCCCGGAGGGGTCACGTCGGAAAGCGTCCCCATCCGCGATACTTCGCCATCGTGCTGTTGAAAAGGAGAGCGCAAAAAGCTTTCATGTTGTTCTATATATACGCGCTTCTATCTATAGGGCCGGGTGTGCGCTGATCCCGGGGGAGACGTTCTCCCTGCCTGCCCCCGGGGCGCTTATCGCGGCGGCAGCGGGACACAGGCAGCTTTATCGCCCGGGCGGGCTCAGCGCAGCCGAGTGGCATTTTCCTTTCATGCCGAACGCGACACCGAACGTGGGGCCGAGCGCTCGGCGGCCCCCGGCGCAGCCCGAGACCCCGGCCCGCGGYCTCGCGGAGCGGCAGATAAGTCGGATGCGCTACGCGGCTCCTGTGGGGCAGCAAAGACTGAGGTCAGGTGCGATACCATCTGCTCGGGCGCAGGATGAGGGGGTAAAAATAAAAGGAAGCCTGAGAGGAAGGAGGGGACTATGGTGGTCCAAGTCACCAAGAAACATCCCCGCACCCAGGGAGACACATCTGCCAGGTCTGCTCCCCCCAAGTCAGTTATTTGTCTATCTGCAGAAGCCAAATGATTCACGCGGTGCTCTGGGGTCCCAACACGACACCTGGGACGGATGGAAACGCGGCGGCTKCAAGTGCTGCTCTGCAGAGCAGGCTGCCCCACTGCAGCTCCTGCCGAACACGTAGCAGAGGCAGGTACCCACGCTGTCCCCCGGACCCAGAGGGAAACCAGAAGTGGCCATACTAACATGTCTTCGTGGAGAAGGAAAACAATTTAAACAGGTAAAAAGCGCATAACAGTCCCTGGATCTGTTTCTCTTTTTTTATTCTGTTGCATCAGTGATGCATGTTGCATCACTGCTGAATTCAGCAGAGATTGTGCTAGAGAGCACGTGAAAGGGCAGCACCAACTTAATCAAGTGCATAAAGATCCCCAGCCATTCCTCGGACTTTCTTTACACGGGAGGGCATCAAGTTGGGCTTTAGTTACGCTAGCCTACTTGTATGTTTCTAGATCAGCAACACATACCACAGCCATCAAATCTCACCATAAAAGCACATTTTTAGCACAAAAAGCATTATTCTGTAATAAACTGACGTTAAAATTTCCATGCTTGAGAAAGCCTATGTGTTATCGCAAATCTATTCATTTCTCAGTAGCTACCACGAATAAAGATGTGCTTTGGTCCCTCAGCAATGAAAGGGAGTTGGGCAGGGGCTGGAGGACATTCACACCCCAGGCTCAGGAGCTGCCCATGCGGCGGCTGCCTCGGCGGTTCAGCAGCACCGCGAGGCGTTTGCCTGCGGTACAAAGCACGTGCTGCTTGTTTGGGGACACCTTATTCCACCTTCGAACACCAGGAAYGAGGCAATCAGGCAGGCACCTTGCAAAGGGCTTGCTGCATGTTACAGCAGTGTGGAAGTACCAAGACACAGCGTCTCCTTAAAATACTCGTGTAAAACCTCTAATCTTGTGAGCCTGTGCTATTGAAAACACTGAGGCAAGGCAAAATGTGCACCGGTTCTCCTCGGGGACGCTGCGGCCGGGCCACATGTGCCACCGGGCTAGTCRCAGAAACTTCAAGGTTGGAAGGGACCTCTAGAGATCATCTAGTCCTCGCTGCCCGGCTCACGATAGCRGCCGTGCTTCATGGAGACATTTTTAGAAGCTCCCGAGCTATGAATTAACCCTCCTGATTTGGTAGAGCCAGTTATGCGGAAAGCATTTCCAAAGGAGAAATGGAAATGGGTGCTTAACTTCCCCTCGATTCTTAGGGGGAGAAAAGGAAGGAAAAAGAGAAAAGGGGAAAGCCACACATTTGTTTTCCTATAGAGAATCCTCTTGTAATATTTCCACACCTGTGAACAGTATAACAGATTCCAAATAACTACTAATCACGATATGTCTCTTCCATCCAGTTACGCTGAATGTTAAAACACATTTAAAACTAAAACACATTTTAAACTAGAACCATTCCATTTTTTTCCTTCAGGCTTACGTTCAATCGCAACCACCACAAGGTGGCCCCCATCGAGAACACAGTGGCCCTCGTGGGCCACGGCCCAGCACTGAATCTGTCTCCACAGCCCCCTCTTTTTCGTGCTAGGGCTCCCTCCACACCACCTGCTCCTGCCTCGCCTCAGTGCCCAGGCGCRCAGCAGGTGGGCGCCACCATCTTGTCTCCTGTGGTAGTTAGTGCCTGCTGCTCTCCTCGGAGCAGACCAGAGGGTGCAGGGGCTTGGACAACCCTTCCAACACATCTCCAAGGCGTCGGTTTGTACTTTTTACCTCACAAAACTGAGGGGTACCACAAGAGACTGAGATACACCGTCCTGCACAGTTCAAATGCCACCTTCACCCTCAGAGAGGGTGACCAGGTCACCCAGGCAGCAACAACCTCCCAAAAGGCACAAAACACAACAAATAACCCCAATATCAGATATGAAAAACAGAAACAACCCCCTCCACACCAAACTGCTCCAGTTATAGAAAAGATTAAACACAAACCTACCTTTGGATGCAGGAGCTGCAGACACCAGGCCACAGACAAGCTACTTCCTCCACCCTCCTCAGGTGCAGCTCATATCCAACCAAAGCCCCACCAAATCTGCTGCCTTTCTCCCCAAAAGCAAACAGCTGGAGCCACCCCCTCCCTGCTGATTTGTGTTGGGCCTGAGTGGTGAATTGACAGCACCTGTGGCAGGGGCAGCTCTAGCACCAAAGGACCTGCTGGGGCTGGGGGAAGGTTGTTCTCAGCTTTTTTTATTATTATTATTTTTTAAATTATTTCCCCTTTCAGGACTGCAAATTTAAAATCACCTTATGCAGAAATGATAGTCACAAAAGACTTGAGGAGGTTTTCTTTTTTTAAATTAAGTTCTGACATGACAGAATATTTGGTCTTTGAAGGTCCCTGACAGCTGCTTTTTGTTCTTGGGGTTTCCAGCCAGTCAAGGTCTAAAAGCTARAATTTCAGTAACCAGATGAGAACAGTGCAAAAACAACACGTTCATCAAAGGGTTTAAAGTTTTTTTTTTTTTTTTTTTTTTTTAAATCCTCCCAATTGCTACATTGTAATCCCCATTCCAAAAGACCAAAGCAAAATTCACCGAAGTTCCTACCATGGTGAGAAGGCTACTTCTGTTTTCAGAGGTTGTCCATATTCTGAATGGAGTACGTAGCAGAGAGAGCACAAGTGAAACCTCCTGCGGCTGCTTGCGCCCCATCACTGCCGACACCATCGCCCCATCCRCTTAGCGTTCCAGCATCTTCAGGCATTAGTGGAGACCTATTTTTAAACTGCATCCTCATGAGTGAGGAAATATAAGCCACTAGTTTTTGACTACCTGCAGGCTCTGCATTTGAAAAAGACAAGCCGCTTTTCCTCAAAACTAGCTGAAAAAATAAAACAAGGCTGCCATGGGTGGCCTAGGAACAGGAGTCGTGGAGCAGGGTTTCTGTCAACATGTCAACTTTCCGTAGCATCTTTTCTTAGGGAGAAAAATTCCTGTAATACGCAACAATATAACACGCACTTTCTTGCTTTATTTCAATTTCTGTGTAAGGTGTCACTGAGAAAGGATGCACTCAAATGCCAAATAAAGGATACACAAATAAAGGATACAGAAAAACGTTCTCTTTAATCTGGGATCACTGGACTTTCGTKACACATTTGCACTGCTGCCCTCTGCGGGACAGAAGGCCGTGCTGGAAGCCCTCCTAGGCCCCTGTGCTACATCAGGAGGAATGGGCCAAAGCTCTTCAGGCAAAAGTCTCTCTTTTTGGAGCTAGATTAAAAAAATCCATCTTTACTGGTTAGGTGCAGAGTTACCTGCACAGCTGGCAAAATGGTAAATTGTGCCTATTGACAAGATGGCAAAGGAGAACTACAAGGATGAGCTAATCCACCAGAGGCAGTCACCTCTCCTCTCCAGATCTATCAGTGGGAACCTAAACTACACAAACAACTTGCCCTCCAATTCCCAATGAATTTAAATATTGATGTTTACTTGATGACATATTTCTTCAGATCCATTCCAGAACACATTTTAAAAAATAACTTCACATTATTAACTAAGAATATTTCTAAAACTTCTGTCAGAATTTCATTAACAGAACCAGTCAATCTGCATGTAAAACAGACAACTTCCTTCCTAGGAGCAGGCAACATCAGTTTTAAGAACACTGCAGTTCTTAAAAGTTCTTTGGGTGCTTGCAAGGTGCCACATGAGTGTGGCACGTTACCATTCAGGTTATCAAAGCAAAACAGGCACTCATCGCTTCAGCACAAAAGACACACAAAGCAATTACTGCTGAAGATTTTACTGACTGCAAGAAGAGCATCTGTATAAATAAGAAAAAAAATCAAGTATGCAACTTGTCAGTATTCTGCAAATATGAAGTGCTAAGTGGAATTTTATTCAAAAAAAAGCACTAAAAAGACTAAAGATTCTAAGAGATCAAGAGTGTAACTTTATAAATATACTGCATGAATTAATAGTGGTAGAAGGGGTCTGCACTCTTCCTTTGGTCACAGCCCTTCAAGGCCAGGTATGAGCACACCCAGGCTACATGTACRTTATGATCTTAGAAAAATCATTTCATAAGCACCTGCTGCTATGAGTGTTAAACAGAACTTACAGAAGTTATTCAGGTTCTGTTAGCCTACTATATTTTTTTAAAACAAAACTGAGTAATGTTGATATAATAAATAGTTTATTAGTGGAATGCACATGAGTTTGTCTCCCATCCTTTAGTTCTCAGCACCTTCCAGTTACATACAGACGTCTATGCAACTTCCAGTCCAAGTCAAAGGCGAAACCGCCCTTCATTGCAGAACGGCAGAAAGGGACAAGTTTCAGACTGGCACCGCGGAGTGCCTGCTTCATCAGGCGCGTATYCAGTTCCCAAGACTGCAGCAGGTGAGGGTTTCTTCTTTCCACATCTCAATTTAACTGCTCCTCCCTGATTTGTGCTCATTTAAGTTCTTCTAAGGCAGGTCTCATACTCCAATTAGTCAGTATAAAATCATGCCTGCTCGAATGCTCTTCCAGCTATTGCCATGTCCCTTCTGCTGTAAGCCTTGCCATTATTACACCATCCCCGATATTTCGTAATAGTTCAGTAAGAGCTTTGGGCTTTTACAAAAAAGGAAAGAGTCTTTTCTTCAAAATATAGAGCACGGTGGCCAGGAATAAGGCAAGGGCGAGAAAGATGAGGAGCTTGTCTGTCAGTTCCCTGCGGTTGTACTTCGTTATTAGCTTTCTTCCCAACTGAATTGTCCCAGACATGGATTTAAATTCTTCATTTGCTTCCAGGATGGTTCGTGAAGAATTGGCTGAAATAAGGGAAAAAATATACTTCAAAAATACCTGACAAATGAAATAAGCACATAGAATTTGCTGATGCAGACAGTGCCACTGAGATCCTAGTGAGTAAGAATAACTTAAGACTAAGACAAGTGTAGACCAAGCTCAAGCAGGACCTTTCACCACTCAYTAGTACTGATGGATTAAAGCTCTCACGTCCTGCTACTAGATCTTTACTTCTTCAGCTTCTTTGATCAAATCTAGTTCACATCTTTAATGAAGTCAGGGTTACCTAGGAGCTCTGTGGAAGCTGACTGAAGTAAGAACAGAGCTAGAACCACCAGTGTAAGAGATGGGCCTGGTTTTAGCAGCAGCAAGGCAGGTCAGCATTTGAGCACAACTGAAACGCTCACCCCAAGCCAGAACTCTCAATTAGGGTCCTCTTGGGGCTTTACAGAGCTTGAAAAGGCAGCAAGGAGTAGTATGAATCCCTAACTGTCAGGTTCAAGGCTTTTTTTTTTTCTGTTAATATTTTGACAAGTACAACTAACAGTTCTTTTGATTCTTCCAAGTGAACAAGATGAAATCAACTAGTGGAAAAACATATTAACTGGTGTCAAGTAAAGAGAGAATTTGAGAATATGCCAAAAAGCAGCACAGAAGATGCATCCCTGCCAACATTATTTTGTAACAAATAAAACCAACACCCAGCAATCCCTGCCTTCCCTCTTTCAAATTACTAAATGGCAAAAATCAAAAGCCCAGGAATACCCTTTGTCTTGCATTACAGAATGTATATCCTGAATGGGAGTGAAGGGAGGCAAATCACTCTTTATTGAACTAAATGACTAAAGAAAGGTCAAACTCCAAGTAAGTTGTCTTGTTCGCAAAGACAAGTATAGTAGAAATGCTTATGTGAAGGTTTTGCAAACCATGACATCCCTTCTTAAAGAGAGATTTTGAATATTTAAATATTCTCCAAAATAGAAAACCTTTTGCTTCTCATTGATAAAGTAGAGCTTTGCTGCTTCACAGCTGTATGTATTCACTGCATCCTGAGAAAGGACTCACTCTAAAAAAGGATAATTCCAACTACTGACTTAGCCACAGCTGGATTMTGTATAAGATTTTTGATAGTTCTTTCCTTGATAAACTCCAAGTGCTGTTCAGCCAGAAACAAAGTGACTGCCAAACTGTCATTTTTAATAGGAGAAGAAACATGCTACTTCTCCACGAACAAACTGTGCCCAGCTGCCATCCTCAGATGGTGGGGGAGGAAGGTYGGAAAAAAAAAGGAGGGGGGGAAACTGCTTTATTTAAACTTTACACTATTTTCTCTTCTGCCCACAAGCACATCCCAAGCAATGCAGCTCTAACTTGTAAATGGTTAATAAATTACCAGTTTCAACAAGCCCCTTGAGTTACTGTCCTAGGAACCCAAGCTAAAGCGCAGGGMTGCATGTGGGTCGCGCCGTCCCTGATGCTCTGCTGACAGAGCAAGTGACTTTAGCTTCAAGTTATTTGGTCCCCACCTCTTAGCCATCCCAGCTGCAGACTGGGTAGAACCCGTCTTCCACATGTACTAAGTTTYCTCCATGTGCAGGCCTGTACTTAGGCTTTTATTGTCCTTTCTCCTGCTACATACCTGCCAGGACAAGTGCGCGGAGCAAGTGCGCTCCTCACGCTGCAGAAAGTCACTCTCCTTTACACTTTTAYACAGAACTAAACCAGGGCTGTTCTTCCTGTCCCCTCTTGTTTACTTGAGGGCCAAGAAAAACATCATGAAAGACAGTCCAGCAAACACTTCTAGGCAATATGCCATCATTATTTTCAGTTTCTATCCAAGTGTTAGAGGAGTTCTGCTGGACACTTCTTTAGTTATCATCCTATTAAGTTTGGAATTAGCAGGCCAACTTTTCACTGTGCTCCACACCTTGGCAGTGTGTCTCTGCCCCTCCTAACAGAACTTCCATGTTCCAAGACAATTCCATGATTCAATCCACAACCAAACACCCAAATTACACCTGTACCTAGGGTCTGCACGGTCTCCTCGCTTTGCTGGACTTGCTGGGACATCATCCTACTAATGCCCATCAGACTCTCTGTGATGTTGCTTGCACTCTCTGCCAGACTCTCCTTTGTAGTCTTTCTGAAAGGGGAAGGAAAAAATAAAGGAGGAAAGAACAAAATTATGTCTCTGGGTATTGCAGAGAAGTGTTGCTGACAGGGAGGTAAGAACAGAGCTTGCAGAACACATCCCCAACAACATACAAAAGACAGAGGGAGATTTTATCACTGCATGAGAAATAAGGTATGTATTCATTCTTGTCACTAAGTATTAAAATGCTAAAATCATGACCCAAAAGAACCATTAGGCAGTGGCTGAGAATCTCATGGACTCATATTTCACTAATTATTAATCCTTCAGTATACCACTTCATAAAGCGGCACAAAAAGCATCAATACCACTTTTGTTTTCTTGGACTTCTGCTGCTTCACAATAARCCAACTTTTCAATACGCTCGTTTTATGAACTTAATCCAGCTCTGCACGTGAAAACAGACGGGAAAATGCTCTCTTACTTATTTATGTATCTGATTGGATTAACATAAAAAAAAATGTTGCAAATAACTTGAAGGCTATCTTTACTTTTCTGCACAGATGGGTCCACATGAAAAAAATGTACAATTATTATCATCCTTAACACTTCAAAACCTACACAAAAGCCAAATGCACTCACAAAAAATCTGTCCAAATACAATCAGATAACTTTAATATAACACATTTTTCCTTTTAGAACTAGTGAATATCACCTCTACTGTTTAAATCTGTTTTCAAGTTATAGAGAGGTTTCATACCTTTGTCTCAGGGTGTCTCTTCCCTGCAGCAGCTGATCTTTCTCAGAGTTGTCAATGGCAATTTTGCACGCTAGATTGGCCTTTCTCCAAGCTGCCTGGTTGCTGAAATGATAAGGGCACAACGTGGTACCTCACACACAGTAACACTTTGCAAGCTAAAACAAAAWTTTTCACAGAGGAACTACCCTAACTGAACGCCCTGCACACATACATGAACTATACGTTACACCACGGAATAACCATGCAGTTTCCTTTGGTCACTTCTCCTGTGTCTATCTTTTATGGGGCAAGAGAACGAAGGATACGGTGTGAGCTATCAACAAACATGCTCCTGAGCCACTGCCTTAGATGCCTGCACAGCTCCAAGGGGATCCAACCCAAAAGACCATGACTAGGGTCACGGGCAGGACAGAGGGAATGAGGAGACCTCGTCCCACMCCTACTGAGCAGCTCCCATGATCCTGGGCAAAGCGGCTTTGTGCCAGCAACCACGTTTGCAAAGCAGGATCCAACAGCTGCTGCGCGAGAGCCCAGCACCTCTAGATTTACCTCTCCCTTGGGGAGGGCCCTGTAAGCAGCACCCGCTGCCCGACGCACCTCAGCATTTGCTTCTTATGGTTCTCCACCTCCATCAGCAAGGCTTGCTTYTCCGATTCTTTGTCTTGCTCCTTGGCCATCTGCTCAAGCTCCTTGGAGGGAAGGCAGAGACAGGGAAACCTGATCAACTGCTGCCACCACCTGCGAGTCACCCCGTCCCCTCCTCGGGGCAGGAAGGAGCCGACACCAAAGTTCGCACCGCCACCGCCTTGCCCGCAGCCGGGGCGCCCTCGGYCCTGCGGCTCTTCCCGAGGGGCGACAACTGCCCCCCCAAAGGGCTTGCGGCGCCTCCGGGGCGGCGGGGAGGGCCGCGGCAGCCTCACCTGGAGGCGGCTGCGCAGCTGCTGGAACTTCTCCTTCACGGCGGCGTTGAGCTCGGTGAGGGCGCTCAGCGGCCCCGGGCAGTCCCGGATGTCCTGCAAGGGAACGGCGCGCTGAGCGGGGCCCGGCGGGGAGCGCAGCGCAGCGGGACCGCCGCCGTTACCTGCACGGCCGCCTTGATCTCCAGGTCGAACCTGACGATCTCCTGGTTGCAGACCCGCAGGGGTACCGCGCCGCCCGCCGCCATCTTGGGAGCAGAGGCCGCGTCGCGCTCGCTCGGGCGCCGCCTGCTGGGCCGGCGGAACCGGGCCGGGCCGGGCCACGACGGCGGCACCGGGGAGCYGGGCCTGCCCGGCGCCTTCGGCCTCGCCCCGCGCGGGAGCCGCGTGGCAGATCCAGCCCCGCGCGGGGACCGAGAGAGGCAGTCGCCGCAGGGCTAAAATGGCGCTGATCGGCGAGCCGTTCGGCTCCCCCGCATAGGGACCTTCTTTTTTTTTTTTTTCTCATTTCCCTTATCGGCATTAGTGATTAACTGATCAGATCACTAACGCCACTTAATAAATGATTCCTGTCATGTTCCCTTTCGCGTGCAAGGAAAATGGGGGACAAACGTAGGTCTTTCTGTGTGCAAACACCCTCCATTTTGCCCGCATTGCCCTGGGCTCGCGCTGGCAGCCGGGGCTGGCGACCGTGTCCTGGCGACCGTGTCCGCAGCCGCTTCCAGGAGCCTCTAAAGGGACCTGCTGGCTTTCGGTGCGGGCTCCAACGCCCACCCAGCCGCTCTGTGCATTGGCCATTGCTAGGAGCTGGGAGAAAAGAAAAAGATAAAATAAAAAAGCAGGTTGTTTTCTTACCAAAGGCCAAGTGCAGTCATTACTGTGTGTTCCTGCACCCATCTTGCAGAGAGGGAGCCCCTCGAGCTGCCCACAGTGCTGGCCCAACGCTGTGGGGGGGAAACCTGGGTCTACGTGGGTGCGAAACGTGGGTGCAAAACGTGGGTGCGCGACGCGGAGCCCCCGCGCACAGGGGAGCACCCCACCATGCAAGACCACAAGCATCTGAGACTRCTCTGTTTTCCTCCACGATTTTTATTTTAAATTACAAAGGATGTTGCATACATTGATGAATTTGTATCTGAATAGAAGTGTGAGGGATCAAGGGTGACAGAGTAAACAGAGTCAATAGTTAAATTGTGCCTCTTTTCGGGAAAAAGAAAAAAGGAAAAACTGCACGACTATAAACCAACATTAGACATTGCAACTCTTTAACAGATCATGCTCTTAACAAGGTAATTTTATTTTCTGACAGAGACGGGACTTTCGGTAATTTTTTCTGAGCTCCAGTTGGAAGTTGAATACAGAGTATCAAGGACAGCATTACAACCATGACTCCAAGCACAGGCAGAGCAGGATGCCAGCTTTGGCTTAAAATGCCTTTTTTTTTTTTCCCCTTGCCTTTCACCACCGATGTCAGCATGTGCCGTCAGCCTTAAGAGTTCACTCAACCACAATACCGAACAATGAGAAATCTGACTTGGATGAAATATTCTAGGATAGGGGATTCAGACTAGATCTTGTTCTTTTTTTTTTTTTTAAACCAAAAGATTGTGTCAGGCTCCTTTTGTTAGTCCCAAATCCAATCCAGGAGTTTTCTTACTGTAGCCAGTCGACTTATCTAAATTTCTATTAATTCAGGTACCTACGTGTCGAATATTCTTAAATGAAGAAGAAAATCACACTGGTGTTATCTAAAGATTTTACTTTTTTTTTTTTTTTAATTTAAATGAAAAGTGTCTTAAAGTAGCTCTTGCTTCACTTTTAGCTCCACTGCTCATTAGGACAACAATAAATGCGTAGCCAGGTCTTGCTCTTGTGGAAGTTCGTGAATGTCTAAAAGGCTGAGGATAAATCAGTGTGCGCACACACCTTGGCATGCTCGAAGCATTGGCGGGGAAAAGCATGGCATATTGTGAAATGTAAATCAGAGGAGGATAGAGACTTTTTTTATGCTGTGAAGAAGATAGAACCTACAATGCCATTTTGTATCCATGACATTTCAGAACCCCAGTTTCTGTTAGGAGATGTTCAGAAGTGCTGTTTTCTCAACATACTAATGCCCTTAGTACAGTTACGAGGAGAAGCAGTCACCAAAACCGTAACTGTCTGAAATGTTCTTCACACGATCCCTGGGGTGAGCAGAATAAAGCTCAGCTCTGCGCCCGGCTRTGTCACTAAGCCAAGACCACATCTAGCAGCACACGGGACTAGATGGATTCCAACTGAAGCCTCTAACTTAAAAATAAAGTGAAATCATGATCAGATGCGTTCTCACAATTCAGGTCGCGAGGCCAAATACAGACCCTAACATTCACATCACATAATTGACCTAATGCCTCAACAGAATTTCAGGAAGACTAGCAAGCAYGTCTGAGGAATAGATTTGCATCTGCTATTTCTGCTGAAGGCAACTTGTATACAACCCTTTGAAGTTCTCCTGATAAAGCCTTTTGCAGCTTTAAAAAAATAGCTATRTCTAAGTGATTTATGGAAAAGAAAAGCACATTTATTCTTTACATTGTGTGAATAAGCTGTTTTATTAATGAAGGCAAGTATTGGATAATTGTTTTAGGGGAGGCATCTCGTTTGTCCAACAAAATCCAAACTGACATCAGTGTATTTCAGAAGCGTCGCCTTCCTTTTAAGTTAGTTAAAAGACCCTTCATTCATTCTAGATTTTTGTTTTTTACCTTTTTCTTGGCCCACTTTTCTCAGTATGAAAAGAGTYTGCTCTATGTAAAAATTGGGAAAGGAACACATCAGAACCCGACTCTCACATCAGCTTTACAGTAATGCAGCTTCATTAAATCACAATGATTTAAACGGTAAGAAAATCCAGCCCACTCACACCTAAACAGAGCTTTAGTTACAACTATCTCGCTTCCATCCCAAAAAAGTACTCAACAAATATCAGCAAATGTGATCAATAAATCACAGAAGGGAAAGTGTTAGCAAGAGGGGCTTGGGGCTTAAAAACACCCTCCGTGAGCACCCCCAGATTTTGCAAGGCCATTCAAAAACTGGTCTTCCATATAAATACAAAACAGCTACTAGTGAGAGGAACTGAAATCAAATCCATCCAAACTTCCCTCGGGATGCTTTTATAAGTTCCGATTTGCTTTCAGAAAGGTCGGCGTCGAAGAGTTCGAGGGGAATGAGAAACATTTAGTTCTAGATGTACAAGTAAGGCACAATATAAAGCCACATCAGAATCCATCATGAAGGAAAGAGGAAAGGACAAGACTCATACATGGTACAGCAGAACAAGCAGCCCATCCATTGAAGAAGTGTGGCACCTAAATTCAGACTGATGAGATCTCGACAAGAGCAGTTAGGACAGCATGCTTTAATATGGAAACAAACTCTAGAGAATCCAGTGTATCAGATAAAGGAAGAGCTTTTGTTTGCATTAAATCAAAAACGTGTAATTGTTTTTGGATATAGGATTAAAAGTGAATATTCACAATGCCTACACTCAAAAACAAACAAAAAATCCAGGACTTCATTAAGATCCACAGACCATGTATGACACTGAAAATCTTTAGAAAATGGCTTTCTCTAAAGATCATCCAAAAATGCATGCCACAATTGCCAAAAAACAGAACATGTACATTTGCTGTTTTTTATACCCTTATAAGATTTTTGTTTGTGATAAGTATACACTAAATGTATATATTTTAATGACACTAGAGGAAGCAGATTGTTACTGGCATTAAAGTACAACCATTTCTAGACGGTTTAAATGCCACAGAGTCCCCTGGTTAAAATGTAAAGCTGCACAGCTTGCCTATGTCACCTTTATGATAAAGTTAAACCAGCAAAAGGTCTTATCTTTACTCTACATTTTACTGCCAGGTTTTATTTATATCAAGTATCGCTGCAGCATTCTGACCAGCCCAGAGTTAGCAGCAAGTGGCAGGAATCATATAAAACGCAGTTTCTTTTTTTTTTTCTTTTTAACAAAGTGCTTTTCTAAGATATACATACATATAAATAGGTACAAAATAAAGTGTCAACATTAAAAAGCTCAACTATTTCAAAGCTTTAACTTAAWATAATACATAGAAAACACTGAAATGCAAGGTATGGAATTCACTACAGGTTCCAACTCTACCTTGAAATGCTAGACCAAAATCATATTCTGGTTTTCAGACAAAAATAAAAAGCTATAAAGTTATATTTGCTCAGCATTCCTGAGCAGTAAAAAGGGGGCTTTTTAATACCTTGTCAGTTGAATTTGTCGCAAAAGTTTTTACCTGATTGCAAACCTGCTTTCAGAACATTCAGAAAAGCTACCGCGTCTGCCCGGTTTTGCTATAAGCCAAGGAGCTCTCTGATGTGAGCAGGGTGCTAAGCCGTTCCTAAGAGAGGCGCAGCACTGCTCCAACCTCGGTGCAGACCCGGCTTTACCTTCACAAGAGACATTCCCTGTGGAGGCTTTACGGGCTGGACGCTTTTCTGCAATAGCCGCAGCATCAGCAACGCCTGCGAGCGCAACACAACTGACCCACGATGCAGAGAAGCAGCCAACTCTCACCTCCCGCCAAGAACGACACCACCACAAACACCTGAAACCCAAACACCCAAATTCCACTCGGATTTTGCAAGTCTTAAGTGGATTTTCGAAGTTTTGCCTAAACTGCCCTGGGTATTTGTTTAGTCTCTGGAAGGAAAGCCTTTCCTTTCTGAACAGCTCAGTAGTGGTATGTGGCCTCCTCCTCCCTTCTGGGTTTCCAGCACATTCAGACACGGGGCCAGGGGCGCGCACCCCCGGCCGCYCTCGCTGCGCCGCCGCTGAGCCGGGCGCTTTTAGAGGACACGCTCGGATATAAAAATAATCTACATATAAACAAAAAGGTATCACAGTACGAACAGACAAACTCAAAATGGAGAAGTACCCCAAAGGGAGTGGGGAGAAAGCCTTCATAGACTTTGCATTTTTTTTTCAGCAGCTACATTTGAAAATATTTGGTATTTTCTATTTTCAGTAAACAGTGTTCTGTCATTTTTTTAAATAGGGTGAGAAAAAATAGGGAGGAAAGTCGGGGGGGGGGGTCCATGAAACCAGAGAATGATCTTGCCTTGAGATAAAGGACTTTCTCATCAAGGGCTAAAGCTTTTAATCTGTACTTTAACACTGACTACAAAGCCAACTCTTATTAGCAGAAGAGCAAATAAGAACTGTGTGTTAATATTCCCCAATCATAGAAACTACTGAATTAACAAG